GGGGGAGAACCCGGCCCAAAGAAAAAAAAAAAAAAAAAACCCTCAAAAAAAAAAAAAAAAAAAGAACATGACAGGTTTAGGTCATGCAGTGTGTAATGATGGAGTTCATCATCCTATTGTTAAGAAATATGTCCTTTAAGCCAACTGCTCTTTTGGTATAGAGGAATAAACAGTTGTATAATATATAGGTTCTCTCCTGAACCCATGAATAGTCTAGTTGGAAAGACGGGCACATACGTAATACCACACATTGTCATTCAGGAGAAGATGAATGACATAAACTGTAAATAAAATATAAATACAGAAGAATGACCCTTTCAGGCTGGATTTGTAAGGGGTGGTGTAGGATAGAGGCTAGAATTTGAAGATTCCTTGATGGTTAGAGAATATCAAAAGAAGGTGGGTAGTGTGAACAGTAGAGAAATGGGAATGAACAGTGCTTATCTGGTTGGGCCAACAAAGAAGGGAATTTAAGAATTCTTAGTCATGTCTGTATTGCTTAAAGGAATATAAACATCCCCCTTTTCAGATAAAACTAAAAAGATTGTGGCCAAAGCCTGAATGCCAAACTAAGAAATTTGGAGTTTTATTTTACAGTGATAATGGATTGCTGATGAGAACTGTGGCCAATGAGGGATGATGTGAGAGCTGTGATTTAGGAAGGAGTAAAATAACAGATTAACAGGGGAAAAAGATTGAGAGGCAATTGGAATAGTCCTGGAATGAATAAAAGGGAAGGAAGAGTAAATGTGAGATGCATATTAAAGGAAAATTTAACAGGCATGTTAGGTGAGGTAGCAGTTGGAGATGAGTAAGAGTTTTTTTAGTGCATGTTTTGTTGTTAAGGTTTTGGTATCTTGTTGGTGTTTTGCATGGAAAGAGGTGCTTTTTGAGTTCCTTCATTAAGGGAAGAAAGGAAAGGCAATATATGAAAGTAAGTGGATGAGAAAGTACAAGAAGTCTTATATTTAAGTGGTAGGTGAACACCTGGGGTAAAAGGATATAAATTTAAAACTTTAAAACAAATTCCAGTTTACATATATTAGGTAAATTCACAATTTTTTTATGTCAGCCCTATTATATGGCAAGAATCATTCTTTATTATATCCTGGTTGAAATCCTTTGTTATTTGTTTTAGAGATGAAAAGGGATATGCAGGGAGAGATACGTATTTGAATTCCCTTCTTTGTTCTTACCTTTCTTGTTAGTAAGAAAACCTCTGGGACCTGAATAAGTTTATCACAGCATTATTTACAATGGTTAGGAATCAACCCAGATGTCCAGAAATAGACTAGTGGACCACGAAAATGTGGCATATATACTCTATAGAGTACTACTCAGTCATAAAAGACAATGAGACCCTGGTGACATCTGTAACAAAATGAACAAATATGGAAGACTTAATGCTAAGCAAAGCAAATTAATCTATGAAAGACAGATTTTGTATGTCCCTGCTCAATATGTACCCAATGTCTCTATAGCAGAAACTGAAAGGTTGAAAGGTGTAATAGCAGATACTAGAGATAGTAAGGTGGCGGGTATCAGGGTGGATAATAGGGGGATCAAGGGAGGGGAACAGGGAAAAAGCACAATATGTTTAATTGACACAGTCATTGTAAAGATGTATAATGATTAAATGTAAATAATATCAAAGAAAAATACAAAACAAAACCAAAAAAACCTTGCTCCTTTTTGTGAAGAGTTTAAAATCTAGTTGGGAATCTTGTCAAGTACACCTCTGCTAGAGTAAAAGGAGGGATTGTGCTCTAATCTTTCCTGGATTCCACAGCACGTGGAGAATAGTCTATGTTCCTGTGTTTGAGTCTTTTCTTCCAACTGTGATGGCTAACAGCTCGTGGAGGACTGGAGATCTGCTGCTTGCCACTCTGGCAACCCTGTTCACATACTTCTGTGTAACCCTTGCTCAGTTTTTGCAGAGGATCCAGTACAATGATATATCCAATCCAGTACAATGATATATCTGGTACAATCTCTTACCTCAGCGAATACATGTGGTGTTCCTTTGCCAAAATCTTACTTCTTATTTTAGGTGGAAACAAGGGAAGATGAAGAACAAAATGTCAAGTTGACTGAAATTCTGGAACTCTTGGTTGCAGCTGGGTATTTCAGGGCAAGAATTAAAGGCTTGTCACCTTTTGACAAGGTAAGAACAAACCTTTCTAACAACTGGACTGTTTCTTTTTGTCAGGGCGCCATGGTTAACTATGGCAGAGAAAGGAAGAAGAGATGATGTGTTTACTTTCTCCATGTCTTTGTCCATTTCTTCCTAATTAAGATTACATTATAAAAGTATTCAAATTTTCTGTTCATGGAAAGTACTGGTATCAGTAGAAATGCCTCAAGTTCCTTTTCTGAGCACAAAGCTTAAGGAAATACAAAGATGCAAAAGAAACAGTTCCTTCTTTTAAGAAACTTACAATTTGGGTAGAGATTGTAAACTTTATGTAAACTAAAAATAATCTGAGTTAGTAATGATATATCTCTTCCTAGTTTTTGTGCTTAAAGACAATCACTGAATAGCTTATGGATATTAAGTAGTTTTATTTTGGAGGTGGGAGAAATTACAATGGAATGGAGTCTTATTTCAGCAGAACATTGAACAAATAGTGGGTTGTTGAGAAAGTCATGACATATTTTTCTATTTTTTTCTATGCAAAAATGCATCATGACTTTCCTAACAACCCAGTATTATGTGTAAGGCATAGTAATGGGTATTAAGGGCACAGAAATAAAATAAAGGCACTACTCTTAAAGAGCTTGACTTCTGTAGGACAGAAAAGAGAGACAAGTAAACCAACATGCCCAGAATAAGTGACATGCAGTAAGTGCCAAAGTGGATTGTGCACAGAGAAGAAGCATCCAAACCACACTGGCAGGTCAGTGCTGAGTGGTCCACAGTCCTGTCTGCACTTAACAGGAGCACCATGGGTGGTTTGATGGTATGAATGTCCTGACCTCATCCATTTAAATTCTGGTTTGTTAAGGCTGGACTGGGACTCTGGGATCTATATTTTATTGAGCCCCTCACATGATACTAAAACACATCCAGGGATAAGGTTCACTGTTACTTTTCTTTTAAAAAATATTTTTTTAATTTGGGACCAGGAGTTGGTGTAATGGCTATGTCACTGAACTCCCATGTAGTTGACCGCGGTTCGAGTCCTGGACCCGGTTGTTTAAACTCACGCCAGGCGCGTGTGCGTGCGTGCCCCAGATCCCAAGAGGAAAATCGACATGACCATCGCCCCTGGGGAGTGATTTCTTGTTTTCTGTCTCTCATCCTATAGCAAAAACTTCTCCAAAAAAGTTTTTTTAATTGATTATTTATTTATTGTCATGGAGCAATTGTGCTCACCAGAGAGAGAGAGAGAGAGTCAGTGAGAGGGAAAGTGAGAAATCACCTCTCACAGGGAATGGTCACACAATAGTCCCTTCTCCTCCACTTGGATTCTGGGCATGCACACACACACACACTTGGTGTGATTTTCAAGCCACCAGGTCCAGGACTTGAACCAATCTTGGCTATATGGGAATACAGAATCTCAACCACTATGCCACCTTCTGGTCCCCTCACCACTGTTGTTTTTCTAATATCAACTGTCTGAAAAGTATTTCAAATGGGTTTTTAGCCTTAGTCTCATTTGCATCTCACAGGAGCCCCATGATAAAAGTAGAGCAGGGATTTTCATCTCCATTAGGGAGATGAGAAAAACAAGATGTGCAGAAATTAAATAATAAGCTACCAGATGTCAGCTTGCTGCCCACATGTCTGGTCTATAAAACACGTAATTCCTCTGGAATCTGTCACTTGGCTGAAACTGGGTTAAGACTTCTCTCAGTGGAGAATAATTGTCTCTTTTTAAAAAGAGGATTTATGTATTGCACATCCATTTAATGATGTCAGTCAGTTTCTCAGTCACACTAGCCACATTTCAAGTGCTCAGTAAGCTACATAAGACAAGTAGCTGCTGTGTGGGCCAGTGCAGATGCCAAATTTCCATCACTGGACAGTTTTTATCAGCAATATTTTAGGTAGACTGTGATTGATGAGATAAGGAGGACAAATACTCTGTCTCTACTAAGTATGTTTACTGAGTCTGTTGGAGCTATTTATAATATATCTATTTACCACTTTTTTCTTCTCACCAAACTAGACTGAGAACACAAGTTTTTTCTTTGTGTCTTACAGGTAGTAGGAGGAATGACTTGGTGCATCACCACTTGCAACTTTGATGTAGATGTTGATTTGCTCTTTCAGGAAAACTCTACAATAGGTCAAAAAATGTAAGTCATTAGGGTTTGCCATGGAGGGGCCTAAAGGGAGAGAGAAACAAACTAACTTTCAAGTGTCTACTGTGCTGGAAGTTGTGCAGGCTTTGCATATCTTACTTTAGTTATCATTACAACAGGTATTATCTCCATTTTACTGATGAAACTGAAACTGAAAAAAACTAAGGTCACAGAGTTAGCATATAATAGTCATTCATTGTTCAAGCTATTTTTAATACATTTTCTAGTGGCCACTTAGTTTATCTCTTTCCAAAAGCAGTTCATTTGGCTGGAAATTGATTAGCAAGAGGAAAGGAGAATCTTTCCTTCCCTGTTGTCTCTGTATAAAGCAGAACCTCACATTTCCTGTCAGAGAAGGCAGCATGGACTCCTTGCTAGAGATTTCACCTGAATTTACCCTGTCTAGACTTGCTTTCTTTTTTTAGAGACAGTATCTTACTATGTTGCCCAGGCTGGCATTGAACTCTTAATCCTCCTGCCTCAGCCTCCTGAGTAGTTGGGACTACAGGCACATGCCACTCTGGTCAGCTGTGCCCAGTTTTCATAGCTTACGAAGCACTCGGCCATTTTGTTGTACTATTTGTAATACCTGGTTTTGCTCCCCACCCTGCCAGTGGTCTGCTGTGTGACTTAGGGCTGTTCACTTCTTTTCTGGGCCTCATTTCCTTAAGAGGGATTTGTGAGCTTAGATCTGTATGAATCTGTGACTTAACTTCATTCATTGTGTAGAAGCATTATGGTTCCCCAAGAAAAAGCATTTCCAAAATGATTAAAGATGGCTTATAAATATAGATATGAAGCAATAATATGGAAAAGTTAAGCAAAGGAAAAGAAGTGCAAACAAAAATCAGAGTTTAAGGCTAAGGATACTGTGTGTGAATGATAGGCCACAAAGTGCTTTGTTTTCCAAGGGGAGATGGAGGAGCTAACATTTGACCCTAAGCTTTCTGGCAAATTTACCACCTTCACAGTTTCCCAAAGTAAAAGAAATATTGGTCCTTTAGAATTGTAGACATACTTGGTAATTAGTACTAAGAGCAAATGGCGTCTCTCAAGGCTCCTCATTAAAGGGGAGATTGTTTAACACAGTGATCCTGTGCTCATCAGTGCTCAAACACCAGTTGTGGACTGGATTCCTAACAGCTGTTGTCTAGGACTGTGGCATCTCACTGAGAGACCTGTTGTAAAAGGCCCTTTCCTGCAAGGTGTGCAGCAGAGTCCAGGTGTATAGCTAAATCCAAGGGTAGATTTTATTCTTTTTTGTTTTTATTAGGTAGATGTTATATCCAGGAGTTAGGAAAAAAAATCCACATAGTACCAAAGGGAAGAAAATATAAATCTGTTACCAGCCTTCTAAGCCAGCTATTGATGGGATCATAGGCCTATCCCATACATGTACAGGTTAACTGAGGGACTAAAGGCATGATCTTCCACATGATCCAACTTTGTTTGAGTACCACATCATTGCTGCACCACCAAACTTACCCACTTAGTCTACTTAAACATTTTTCTCTTGATTCATCAATATAATTTGACCTGTTTTCTAATTATATAGGGTATACATGTTAGTATCCCATTTTTCATTCTATGTTTGGCCTCCATCTACCATAACATTACTTTTTTTTTTTTTTTACATCTTTTTTTCTTACTTTTTTTTAAAGAGAGATATTTTGCTGTAGGGCACGTGCTCTCACCAGAGAGAAAGAGATAGACAGAGAGATAGAAAGCAAGAAATCACACCCACCCCCCCACCTTCTGGAGGATGGCCATGCTGCAATCCTTTCTCCTCCATTCTCTTCTCAGGATCTTGGGTCTGCATGCGCACACACACGCTCCAGGCATGAGTTTCAGCCGCCACATCTGGTACTCACACTGTGGTTGACTACATGGGAGTCCAGCTGCATAACCACTATACCATCTGCTGGTCCCCATAACATTACTTTTATAATGATAAGGGGATAATATTTATAATCTGTTCTATAATAACAGTTAAATTGCCCATGCTAGAATCTACAGGTAGAGTCTAGAAGTAAATCTCTAAACAGTGTTTACAGTAGGTGCCAGCAGATGCTATAGTGGTTATGTTGCTAACTGCAGTTAGAGTCCCAAACCCAGTGGCTTGAAACATGTCAGGCATGTGTGTGTGCATGCCCAAGATCCTGGGAGAAGAATGGGGGAGAAAGAATTGCATCGTGGGCATCCCCCCTGGAAGATGATTTCTCACTTTCCCTCTCACTGTCTCTGTCTCTCTCCCTCTGGTGAGTTCATATGCCCTAAGGCAAAAACTTCTTTAAAAAAAACAAACAAAAAACAGTGTTTCCAATATAAGAACTATGAATTGTGATGGCATCAGAGAAAAAGGAAATGTAATATTCTGGACCATAATGTTTAAAGGAGGATATTCAAGATATCACAGTCAACTGAGTCTCTTCACTTATCGTTACACTTAAATATTTATTGCGTCCCTTCCATGAGACAAACATTATTGGGTACTTTGGATACATTATTAAGAAATGTTCAGCCTTCATGGAGACTAGTGGGAGAGACAGACCATAAAAAATAATTAAATAGGTAAATTAGATATAAAAGCAATATGTGCTGTATAAAAAAATTAAAACTGGGGAAGAGAATGGAGAGAGACCTGGGTAAGAGGCAGTCACAGTTTTAAGCAGGACAGTCTGTGTAGGCTACATGGAGAAGTTGATGTGGGAGCTAGGACTTGAGGGAAGAGGCAAAGGGAACCACCAATATAAAGGCCCCCAAGGCAGAAGCTTGTCTGGAGATCACAGGGGTCAATCATATAAGGCCTCATCAGTCAGAATAAGGACTTTGAGTTTACTCCAGTGAGATGGGAAATTATTGGAGGGTTTTGTGCAGAGGAGGAACGTCCTCTATTCTGTGGTTTAATAGGATCCTCTCATTACTGAGTTAAGGGGACAAAGTTGGAAGCAGGGACACTCTTCGGCCTATTATAGTAATAAATGGAAATGGTCAAGCTTGGGTGGCAGGTTGCAGTGTGGGATTCTGGATCTATTTTGCAGGTAGAGTGGACAAGATGTCCTGACAGATTGGACAGGAAATTTGGGATATGAGATTGAGAGAGAAATGTAGAATTGTTTCAAGATACTTGAATCCAGGGGAAGAAGTCTTTTTTTTTTTTTTGGAGAGGTTTTTGCTATAGGGTGCATGCACTTGCCAGAAAGCCAGAGAGAGACAGAGAGATGGCAGAAAGCGAAAAATCACCCCCCAGTGGGGATGGCCGCGCTGTAATCCCTTCTTCTCCATTCTCCTCTCAGAATCTTTGGCATGCACGCACATGTACCCAGCGTGAGTTTAAGCCACCTGGTCCAGGACTCGAACTGCGGTCAAACAGGACTCGAACTGTGGTCAACTACATGGGAGTCCAGCGACATAGCCATTATGCCAACTGCTGTTCCCAAGGGGAGGTGGTCTTTAAGTCACTGAGAATCATGAACATTGCAATTTGCTTCATGTTTATAAAGTTTTGGGGGTTTTTATTGCCCTTGAGATTCTGTCTTTATTGGTTTTTTTTTTTTTGACAGTAGGAAAGTACATGCCTTTACTTGTAGCCAGATCAGCTAGCAGCTTCTTTTTTTTTTTTTAACTATTATTTAAAATCTTAATTAACAGATGCTTGCAGTTTGTTGACTTTTTTGGAAAAAAAAAAGTTGTAAACATTTATTACAGATTAAAAATGGGGAACAGCAGTTGGTGTAATGGCTATGTCGCTGGACTCCCATGTAGTCGACCACAGTTCAAGTCCTGGACCCAGTGGCTTAAACTCACACCGGGAGCGTGTGCGTGCATGCCCAAGATCCTGAGAGGAAAATGGAAGAAAAGGGATTGCAATGTGGCCATGCCCCCCGGGGGGTGATTTCTTGCTTTCTGTCTCTCTGTCTTTCTGGTGAATGCATGTGCCCTATAGCAAAAACCTCTCCAAAAAAAAAAAAAAGGACTCAAACAAATCAGCCATAATGACAACTGGGCATATTAAAATTGCAGGCTGGAAAACCGGCCTGGTGAACTCTGCTGTTGTCATTCCCTGATTTTTAGGAAGTCAGAGGATCCATTCTGGGCTCTAGAGAGAAACCAAATGGGTGCTGGTCAATTTCTGTTGGAAGTCTTCCTAACCTTCCCCTGCCCTCCACCTCTTTAGCTGCTCCCGCATGCTGCTGAGTTTGTACACACTTGGCAGTCATTTCTGGGAGGCAGTTTTAAGAGGGTTGTAAACCTTGAGATGACCCATGATATCTTTCCTGCAGAGCCCTGAACTGGGGCATTGACTGACTCTGAGGAGTGGCCAGGGAGAAGAACCATGTCTGAAGGCAGAGGGTTGGACTGATTGGATTTCGGCATCCTAGCCTTTTGATTTTCATCAGTTAAGTGGTTCTAGATAATCAAGAACCCCCTGCAAGCCAGTAGATCTTTAGCCACTAGAGGGAGCCCTCCTCCTGTTGAACCAAATGTAGCTAAGGCCCACCTGTTTGGATCACGCCTGTGAGAATGGTTAAGACCCTCCCTTCAGCTCTCAGAACCAGGGTGGATGCTCATTCTCACTTGCTTGGAGTTTGGGCTGCAGGGCCAATTAAACACTCATTTGTTCCCCGCATAAGTTTCAGAAAACTTCAGAAATAAGGCACAGGACTCTGATGGAGCTCAAAGTAAAATATAAGGCACATCAGAGAGAAAGCCTGAGATATGTTGCCAAATGGGTTTATTAATACTTCCCTACCAAACTATTCCATTTGAGCCCCAGGCAGGCTTGGACAACCACAGGCTTCCCCACTTGGAAAGAAAAGGCACATGGGTCCCAAAGACTGGTTTCTCAGAAAGGTGAGACCATGGGAGTGACTGAGAGCTACATGATAATCCTTCCTCTTCTTCGGTCTTTTGGATAAATTACTCTCCACACCCTCTTTTTTTATTTTATTTTTTTAATTTTCTCCAAAAGTGAGAGAGTTGGAGAGACAGCACCCTCAACAGTGTTCTGATGTCATGGTCCATCCCCCTCAGCCAGCCCCGGATCGTGAGCACATGAGTACCCAGCATAGTCAGGAAAGTCCTGGGAAACACCTGGAGTCTTCCCATGTGGGTGAACCTCAGAGAGCTATGTATTTTATAGCTGCATCAACATCCATTCATCTCTCCCCACTTCTGTTGGACAGGACCAGTGAGGAAGAAGAGGCAGAACATTTCTCCCATATACTTCCCTCCGGGGCAGTGGAATTTCCCTCCCTTCTGTGAATGTGCACAGGGGAGTGTCTGTCTTCTTCTCCCAGTATTTTTCTCTCTTAACACTGGCCTTGACATTTGATGTACTAATCAGTGAGTATGATTGGTGTCCTTAACAGTTTTAGCCTTGGTCTCACCTTGTGAAGTTACTTTCCACATACTAAATACTGTTCCTTGGTTCGTTAGTGTGTTCTTTAGGGCCACTCCCTGTGGGCAGTTTAGCCTCTGCCCCTAGGTCACTTAGTTCCTGCTAAGACTGAGGAGATGGAAGCTGTTAAAGGGAACATAGTTAAAGCCATAATAGTTTTCATGAGAGGTGAATGCTGATCTTAAGGGTGGACATCTTCTTGGATAGATTGTTGAACTGCGGAACAGTAAAGGTGGGCAAGATTTCTATGAACAGGAATACTTTTGGTAGACCTAAAACTTGCTGAATTTGAAGCATCTAGGACTAAGTGGTCTCTTATTTCCCAGGGCTTTTATCAAATATAGTATAATCTTGGACTTATAAACAAGGCCACAAAAGCTGCTATAACTGGCTGAGGTTTTGGGGTTTTTTAAGGCTCTTGGGTGGGAATATGACCTAAACTGTCCATGTAGGCTGAGCTAGAATCCCTCATTTCTGTACATGGCTCCATCAGCCAGTGCCTAGTGACTGTTTTTCAGGGTTCCTCTCCACATGCCATGGCTTTCGGTTACCACATCCACCAAATGACCTCTTTTCTCTCTTCATGCATCTGACCCAGTTAACATATAAGAAACAGGAGTCACACAGTTAAAGATCAGATATTAGCTGATTAGAGAAGGAGGCTTAAAATCGTGAAGTTGGACTTGGACATAAGTCTTCCATCATTTGTGCCGTAAAGCTGCCCCACTCTGGCTCAGGCTATGCTGAGAAACCTCCCCAGTGGGGAGTTTATACTTACCTCCTGACCTAGATATAAGAGTGCTCTTCAGGAGCCTCGTTCCTCCCCATCTGATCTCAGCCATTCTCCTGGAGAGGACTAAGGCAAAGTGTTGGAGAGAGATCAGAGTATGCCTTATGAGAAGCAGAAAATTTCGCTTCTCTGTGGAAAAGTAAGGATACGCATTTCACCAAATCTAGGATTGATTATCAAAAACAGTAAAGGCTGTTATTTATTTTTCAATTATTTTTGTATCAGAGGGAGAACTCTGAATTTCTTTTAGAAATGAAGTCTGTGTTCTTTCGTTATACTGTAGGCACATGACATAGGGCCTAGTAATTACTTGTTGCTTGAGTGGTATTCATAAATAAATAAGTATATATAATATTTATTCATTTATTTATTTAGATGTGTAATATAGTGGTTCCCAGACTTTGGGGGAAAGTAGGTCAGTAAAATGAAATGGAAAAAAATATGAGGGACCAACAGGTGGCATGGTGGTTGAGACGCTGGACTCCCACATGGCCAACTACAGTTCTATATCCCAGACCCTGCAGCTTGAAAAGTCACACCAGGCATGTGTACATGGATGAGAAGGGGTAGCATGGCCATCTCCTCTCGGGGCTTATTTCTCACTTTCTCTCTGTTTCTCTCACTATCAAGTGCAAATACCATACAGCATAAACCTTTAAAAAAAGAAAAGAAAAACACTCTGGGTGTATGTGTGTGTAATGTATGCCCAAAATCTCAACAGGAGTAGGGATTGTCTGTGGCCATGATCCATGGGGATTGATTTCTCACTTTCCCTCATTTTCTGTCTCTGTTGAGCACATGTGCCCTATAGCAAACTAAAAAAAGAAAAGGAAAAAAGAAAGACAGTGATAACTTTCTCTTTTAGCATGTAAGGATGTTAAAAACAATAACTACTAACTCTAACATCATCATTATTTTCTTTTAAAAGATTTTAACATCAGAAAAGTAAGAACAGAATCTTAGAATGAAGGCAGTTTTGTGGCCTAACATGCACATGCGTGTACACACTCTCGAGTCTAAATTGTACTGCTTTTCAAGTCTAAATTGTACTGCTTTTCATTTCATACGCAGCCAGGAGAAACTTAGTCGTTTCTGGGACTGGCCTGGCATTGAGAAATTCATATTCTTCCAGGATGGTGCCCAGACTTGGGAGATGTCTTAAGGTCATTTCGTTTGTTCTCAGCCTTATCTTCTTCCCTCTCCCTGACAGAGCTCTCTCAGAAAAAATTGTCTCAGTCCTGCCGAGGATGAAATGTCCACACCAGCTGGAGCCCCACCAAATCCAGGGGATGGATTTTATTCATATATTTCCTGTTGTTCAGGTGAGATCTTTGTTTGGTTTCTTGTTCGCTGTGACACGTCTGACTCTTGGAGCATCTGGCCTGGGTCTTGGTTCAGTTGTAGTGTGGATTTGGTGCACAGAACGTGATGCTGTTTCCTGTTGTCATCCTCGTAAGGTTGTGTATGCTCCACATACTCTAGCCTCATATAGTCACCTCTTTTGACCTTTGAACATTCTCATCAGTGAATTTCCTTGTCCGTTTGGTAAAAGAAGAGCTCTGTAGCCCTGTGCTCTCATGTTCCTTCCAGCCTATCTAGCTTGATTTTACTCCTTGCTTTTCTTTGTTCCTTCTGTTCTGTCCTCTGAGTTCATTTCAGATTTTCCTGTGCTTATCATGCCTTCCTCCTGTCTTTGCCAGACCCTTGGTCTAGAATGCATTTTCCTTCTCTCCTTTCCTGCTTAGTTTATATTCATTCTGTAGATCTCAGTTCCACTAAACCTTTTCAAGAAAAGTTGAAGCGATTTCTCTTACTCTGATCTAGAACATGTCCCTTTGCTGTGTGCACTCATGCAGCCACATTCCCTTCCTTCAGAGGAATCACCTTTACTGCAGTGTGGAACCACATATCTTTGTGTGTGATTATTAATCTGTGTCTCCCATCAGACCGTAAGCTTCATGAGGGCAGGCACCATGGCTGTCTCGTTCACTGTTTTGTCTCCAGCACCTATAAAAATATCAGCAGTTTGTAGGTATTCGGTCCTTTTTCTGTGGCACTGTGCCAGACTTTCTGCCCAGCTTTTCCCCAAGGCTCTCTAATTAAGTGCCTCATGCTCCCCATATAATGTGCAGTCCTCGTGTTTGAGTTTTCATTACAGGCACCTTAAAAAAGGATGAACAAAGGGACTCAGATGTGTTGCCTGCCATGTGAGCAGTATTTTGCATCTCATCCTAATAGAATTCCTTGAAGCATCTATTCTAATCCCTTACATTAGGAAAGTGGGAAATGTAATTTCCTTATATTTGAGGAAAGTGAGACTCAGATAGGATAATCCATTTTTTTAAAGGCAGAAAACTAGTGGGTAGACAAGCAGAGATTTTAGTCAGAACTCTGTCTCCAAGCCTTGTGCTTTTTTCACTCCACCACTCATTGCAACCACAAAGAAGGGAGCTACACAGCCCTGCTAGAAAAGTCTTTTTGTTCTGTTAAGTTTGCATAGTTGTAGGGCTTAAGAGCAGGAACTCTAGAAATTTTCTGGGTTCAAATCTTGGCTCTGCCACTTCTGGCTGTGTGACCTTGGGCAAATGATTTAACTTCTCATCTGTTAACTAGAAATAATAACAGCATGTACCTGATAGGCTGAGAATTAAGAAAGTTAATATTCTATAAAGCACTTAGGTGAAAACTGGTACATTTTAGTAAGTGCTTTTTAAGTATTATATAGTTGTTTTTGTTATTGTAATAGGTTGAATCTTTCATTGCACTAGACTGGAAGTGGAATGCTATGAAGTTTAACAATTTTTTTGGCATTTGTTAATTTGAGGCCAAGACTGTAGTTTAGGATTTGATTTGTATGTTTGTTATACTTCCTGTTTAGCAGAGGGGGATGATCCCTGATCCTTTTTGTGAAAATGGCAAGTTGGGCCCTGTGGTGATTGTTACTGAAACTTCCAACACCATCATACTATAAAGCCATTATTTTTTCCTTAAAGTCTGAATCTATGGAGATCTTCCTTAACCGTGCACTAGAACTTTGGGGGCAGAAAAAAATCTAGTCCAGATATGAGAAGGAGAATAAGAAGTGATCTCTAGTTTGGGCACTTTGAGTGTCTGTGGATGTTCCTATCAGTTGGGATGCAAGAAGAGTTCCTACCTAATGGGTAGCACCTAAGCTAGTGGGTACTGGATATCTTAATTTCATGGGCCTCTAAAATTTTAAAACAAAAGTGGAGGTTGATCTAGAATTGGCACCTGAAGTTTGCGAGACTAGCACGCTTTTTAATGTAACTGCTATCTTGCTTTGTCATTTCCTAAAAGAAAGACCATTAACTCTCAGTCTCTTGGGGGGGGGAAAGAAAGGACAGTTTTTCAAATTTAATATAGTCAGCATTATGAAAAACCCATCACCTTCCTGTAATTTTTCCCTGTTTTTCTGGGAATCAGTGAACAAACAATCATGGACTAGCAGTTAGGAACCGTTGTCGGGGCCGGCAAGTGGCATGGTGGTTAAAGGCACTGGACTCCCACATGGCCAAACATGGTTTGAGTCTCGGACCTGGTGTCTTGCTTTCTCACTTCCTCTCCCTCTCCCTCCCTCTCCCTCTCTCTCTCTCTCTCTCTCTCTCTCTCAGATAAAACTGGAAAAAAAATAATAATAAATAAAGTTAAATAAAATAATTATTTAAAAAATACAAGGACACATTTAAAAAAAAAAAAGAACCGTTGTCCTTGTCCTGTGTGAGTCTAGAGGCTCACCTCCCATGCTCACACCACACGCCAAAGCTCTAGTAGCAGTCTCAGATTGCCAGTCGAGAAAAAGTGTATCTTACTTCAGCCACCAGCAATTCTAGGTCACATATTTTTCTCTCATGCCAGATATGTATTTTTCTCAGGTTTTTAGGAACCTGTTTCAGGGTTTGGCTGTCCAAAAGGTTCCATCCATAGTTGTTCCTGCTGGGAACTCCAAAACAGCTATCAATTCCCTAAGGTAACCCTAAGACTAGTAGGTTTTCCCTTCTTTATGTGATCACATAATGCAGAATACAGTCAAGTAGTAACTTAAAGTTTGGGAATTAATGGAAGCAGCTCTAATGAGGAAAAAGAAAAAGACCAGAAACTGAGTCTCCATATCCAAAAGAAAGCAGGGCTAATTGAGTTGAGCAACAAATTAATTGCTTTTTAGTACCAGGATGAGAGTGTGGGTGAGGGGCATGAATAGTTCTGGGTGCTGTTTGATTTTCTCCCTGTGCTTGGATCCCTGTGGAGGATCTTGGTGAGTGCCTAAGGTCATTTTCTGGAGTAGTGATGTGGTGGAAATTAATGGAAGAGACTAACAACAAGGAATATTCGTCATATATTCCTTTCCTACACATCTACTTCCTAAACCTGTCGTTTGCTTGAGTTGAGTGTGAACAAACATCTCTTCTCATTCTGTGGGAGCATCGTGCAGCTATGCATTATGTACCTTGTGTCTACATTCCTAGGTACCTAAATCTCACCAAGTGTGTTGTGCTCTTGGTGAAACACAACTATTGTCTAAAAACTGCTTTTGAGATGTAGTAGCTCTCTCTGGAGAGGAAATGGCATCCTGACAAATGTCATTCCCCTCCATGATGTTTTTCAGTAAGAGAAGGAATGAATGGAGAGAATTGGAGGGGAAACAGAGACTACTTTTGTACTTTACACTTACCCTCAGAGCCCCTGCATCTTCTGCAGGTTTGGCATGTGTTGTGTTTTAATTAACTGAGGTTTTAGGTTAAGAAAGATGAAGAGCAGTAAATTCTGGATATTGGCCCAGCAGTGTTGGGAAACTTTTTTTTTTTTTTGAGATAACTTTTTGTGTAGAGCATGTGCACTTGCCAGAAAGACAGACAGATACAGAAAGACAGAAAGAAATCACCTCACAGGGGAGATGGCCACACCGCAATCCCTTCTCCTTCATTCTCTTCTTGGGATCTTTGGGCATGCACACACACGCGCCCAATGTGAGTTTAAGCCACTGGGTCTGGTCCTTGAATTACAGTTGACTACATGGGAGTCCAATGACATAACCATTATGCCATCTGCTGGTCCTGAGTTGGGAAACTTTTAATAAAATCCATTTGTCTAGATTTCATTGTGGAAAAACCTCCCAGTTGTGACTCCTAGCTTTGCAGTTTGCCAGCTACAGATCAGTGAGCAAATTAGGTACTGTCTGCACTTTAGGGTCTATAAAACTCAGCCAGTACCATATCCATCTACTTTATAATGTTGTGAGGATTAAGAGACATAATGTTTTCGATATCCAGCTAATTCAGTGCCTTAGGCCATGTACTCAGTACAAAATGTTCTGAAATCTGAATATTGTGGGCTTTTCTTCATCTATCAAACAAGAGTTTTGATAGTGTTCTCTGTGGTTCTTGCTTCTTTTCCTGGTCTGTGATGAAAGCAGCACAGTAAGAGATGTATATTCAGAGCTGCCACTGGGACCAGGTGTTTGGGAGCTATAGCTCTCTCTGTCTCGTGCTTCAGTTGTTTACAAAGCACTCTAGTATTTGTGCTTTTATTTACTCCCATAACAGCTCTAAGAGCTGAAACTATCTGATATTTTTACCTTTATAGAGAGAAAAACTCAGGCACGAGGATATGAAGGACGGCTTTAGAGCTCCTGCAAGCTACTCAGCGCAGGTCCCAGTGGATCTGAGCTTCTCTGTGCACAGTTTTGTACTTTTCCTGTCAGGTAAGACAGGAAAAGTTGATAGTGTCTGTTGTTGATAGTGTCTCATCGCCTGATCAGTTCAACTATGCTGATCTGGATTCACCATGAGTTAGTTAGTCTTCACTGCAGTGGCATTTTGTCCCTAGCAACTCACATTCCCTCACTTTCTTTCCCAGTGGCTGGTAAAACGAGCTATAGAAACAAAAGAAGAGATGGGTGACTACATCCGCTCCTACTCTATATCCCAGTTCCAGAAAACCTACAGTCTCCCTGAGGTCAGTATTGTGTTTTTCTTTTCTTGTCCAACCGAGAACATGAGGGCGTACTTAGAGGTTCCCTAGGAAGAAGCAGAGTGGTCTCCGGTTCTCCTGTACTCCTTCCTTTTCCTTCCTGCTTGGTATCTCTGCTCTACTTGGTCTTACCCCAGAATTGAAACCTGGCTTCCTGGTTCATTGGCAGTGTCTTTTTAAGTGGTCACTGAATTTAAAGCCCCACAATTTTGACGTTTTCTCTGAATTTTGGTACTCGATATAAAGCTTTTATTAAATTATAAAATGAAGATTATATTTTTGTGTAAAACCTTTGAGAAACTACTAGTCTCTGACATTCCTATAGTAAAAATTGAATAGTAGTTACAACAATAGTAATCGTAGCTAATACCTATAAAATATTTGTCACATGTCAGTCCCAGTGCCTTGTATGCCCTCTATCCTTTAGTCCTTTTGACTGCTTCCTGAGATAGGTGTCATCCATGTTTTACAGATGGAGAAACTGAGTTTAAGAGGTTGTTAATTTAGCTGACATTTCAGAGTTTATGAAGATTTGAAATGAGAACACTTGTTTTTAACCACTACACTCTGTGGTCCCCTTTTTTTGTTACTGACTGTAGGGCTCTGCCTTGGAGCCATGAACAGAGATTCTAGCTTTTTTCCATGGAGAATATTCCAATTCGTTAGAAAATTGAGACTTAGACAAAGGAGTGGTGAAAAGTAAATTTATAAGGCAGATTTCTGAGAAGTTCAGTTGAGTTTTAATCATCACATGGGATTTACTTAATCCCTCTGTTTTGTCTTACAGGATGATGACTTTCTAAAGAGAAAAGAAAAGGCCATCAAGACAGTTGTTGACCTTTGGGTATGTCCCCTTGTCTGTTTTCTTCTTTTAAAGCATTGTGTAGTCTTCAAATACCACTTTGATTTAACTCACAGAAGTGCTGCTCCCTGAGGTTCCTATTTGCTGGGATTACGTAGGAGCTGGCCTCAGATGGGTATGGAAGGGGAGCCCTGCCTGCTTCACTGCTCAGTGCCAGGATGCCAGCACTCATAGGTAGACCCTGCCACAACCACTGCCCTGTGTTCTTATCATTTCAAGGTTTTTTGGTGGTTTTTTTTTTTAATAATAATTTATGATAGCATATGTGCATATTTGAGAGAGAAACACCCTTAACAGGGTCTTGTCAAGCTGCACTCCCAGCTCGTCAGGATTTTGGACATGCACACACTCACCTGGCATGTTTTGGGTCAACCAGGCCAGGGATCCAGATCTGTGGTCAGCCATGTGGTTTCCAGAACTGTACCAACAGAGACTGGGTCATGAGTTCCAGCTGTAAGGAAGAAGTAACCAAACACAAGCCTTTCCTCATCTTTCCCAAAGGCAGGTGTAAACTTGGAACTCTAAGGAGAAGATGATGAACTGGTAGTGGTAAACTGAAATTACTGATGCCCTCCACACACGCTCATGATGGCCTTGGAGAGACAGAATTTTGTTGTGGGAAATTCTGAGATGGCCTTTTTTACCATACACAGTGCATTTTAGTTTCCAGGGGTCTGCACACATGCACTCACTTCCTCAGCATGAGGGACAGTAGAGAGCTGTTCAGGACATCCTGAGTCAGAGCCAGGAAAACCTTGTTAGCAATACCTTCCAACTTTCCAGCCTCTCTGCCTGAACTTACGAAAATGAAGCATCTGCCTGTGTTCATAGTCTCTCTTCTCATAATAATGTATAGTGTTATTTTGAATGTTTTTAACTCCCTCTAAATTATATCATACTAAACATGTGTCTCAACCTCATTTGTGAGAGTCAGCCAAGCTCTAGTTGATTTTCATAGTGGTACAGTCTGTCCTATTAATATGCCATCCAGCTTAAACATCAGATGCATTTTTAATGCAGATTGCTTGGGTTTTATAAAGATCGAATCTGTCTGTGGTTTTGTGACTAGCTCAGGAATCTTTCCAGAAAAATAATTCTGAACTACCATAGTTTAATAATCGATGTATAGTCTCCCGAGGTGATTACTATGGAAAGAACAACCTTCATTTGCTAATGAAAGTGTCTACATAGAACAAAATGTCGCTGTCACTTTATAATTGTAATTTGTTCTTTTTCTCAATTCCGTTTTGGAAATGAGAGGGGTAGAAAACCTCTAAGACAGTGACACTCTGAAGCTAGATACTGTTTTCTGATTTGGTGGTCATACTAAAAAGAAGAAAGAAGAAATGATAAGACATCAGAGTAGTACTTTTTTCTTCTAGTTAGAAAATAGTTGTCCAGTTTAGAACATCCTAAAGCTCTTTTTAAAAAGATTGATAGATACTGGGGTGGAAAAATCAACCTTAATCTCACAACATAGAAGCAACCATGTTTAATGACTGGTTATGTATCTTCCATGTTTTTAATGTGCATTTTAAACTGAATTAGAATTGTACTTTAAACCTAATTTTGTATTTTTTTTCACTTACAATGTAGAGTCTTTTGTATACTATTAAAGATTCTTCCCAACAACATTTCTCATGACAAATAATAACAGGCTGGTTAGATATGTGTTGCTTTCTCCTGTTAAATGATGGACGGATATGAAAACCAGGTAACAGCATTAAGTCTAAGGCAGAAATTTGGGAGGCCAGAGGCAAGAGAGGAAGGCAAATGTGCTTTGCCCTAGAAATGCTATACTCCTTGAATTTTATGCGAAGTCTGTGTATTACCTATTTAAAAACAATGAATACATGTTAAAATTTTGTAATGCTTAATTGAATATATTCATGTGTAAATCTCACTCTGAGCTTTGTGTCAAGAATGGGAAGAATAGTGGTTTTTAGCTGTATAACCCAGAATAAAAGACCAGCATAGCTATTGATCATGCTGTCAGTGAATCTGGGCCTGGCATCTCTGTACCCATGAAGTAGTTTAGGCCTCCAGAAATACATTATTTCTTCTCATTTGTAATGGAGTTTTCTTTCTTTTTTTCTTTTAATGCATTTTTGCTTGGTAATGTGATTACATAGAATTTAAGAAAATAATAAAAACTACTTAGTGTCCAACATTTTTCTGAGTGTGCCTATAGCTCGTCTACTCTTTACGTCAACCCTGAGAAGTAGTAGTACTTTTTCTTTTCACAAATAAGAAACTGAAGCACAGATAGGTTATATAAGTTGCCCAAGGTTACACAGGTGATGATGAAGGCAGTTCGCAAACCCAGTCTCATAACCACTCTGCTATGAGCTGATTAGAAAATAATATCAAAATATAGGACCAGCAGTTGGCATAATGGCTATGTTGCTGGACTCCCATGTAGTCGACAGCAATTCAAGTCCTGGACCTGGTAGCTTAAACTCATGTTGGGCATGTGTGCATGCGTGGCCAAGATCCTGAGAGGAGAATGAAGGAGAAGGGATTGCGGCATGGCCATCCCCCTGGGAGTTTTTTTTCTCACTTTCTGTCCTTTGTCTCTCTTTCTTTTTTTTTATAATTATTTTTTTAATTTTTATTTATTCGTTCATTTATTTTAATTCGGCCAGAGAGAGATACACAGAGAGAGAGAGAGAGAGGGAAAATGAGAAAGCAAGCCACCAGGTCCAGTATTTGAACCGCGGTCAGCCATGTGGGACCACCATGCCATGCCACCTGCTGGTCCCCTCTCTGTCTCTTTTTCTTTTTTTTTTTTTTCCTTGCTATAGGGCGTGTGAGCTCACCAGACAGACAGAGAGAGACATAAAGCAGGAAATCACCCCCCAGGGAAGATGGCCACGCCGCAATCCCTTCTCCTCTATCCTCCTCTCGGGATCTTGGGCACGCACGCACACGTGCCCGGCGTGAGTTTAAGCCACTGGGTCCGGGACTCGAACCATGGTCAACTACGTGGGAGTCCAGCGACATAGCCATTATGCTAACTGCTGGTCCTCTGTCTCTCTTTCTTACGAGCGCACGCACCCTGTAGCAAAAACCTCTCCAAAAAAAAAATATTGTCAAAAAAAAAATATCAAAATTAAGGAAAATGAGGGGAGGTGGGGGAAGATGGTGGCTCAGCAGTTAAACACTTCATTCTGTGAGGCTAATCCACATGGGAAGGTCCCAGGTTTGCATGTGGAGCCGTTCCAGGCACACTTGTGCCCACAATCTGGGACTGGCTGGGTCATGAATAGCAGTGTCAAAACTCTCTTTAGGGTGCTGTCCCTGTCTCTCTCTGTCTCTCTTGCTCATGGAAAAATTAAATACATTTTAGAGAATAATGAAAAAAATGTGAGTTCTTTGATTCTAATTTGTATTGTTTAGTGTATTTCCTTTTTTATATGTGAACTTAATTTTTAATTGACTGGCAATACCTTTTTAGTAAGAATAATAAAGGACTTTTATAATTAGGTAGGGGCTGTCCCTGAGTTTTGTTTTTCTCCCTATCTATGGAATATACTTCTCACTTCCAGAAACTGTCTTCTAGATTTCCCTTCTCTCCTCTTCTCTCCACTTCCCTTCCCTTCCCTTCCCTTCCCTCCACTTCCTCTCCTCTCTCCTCACACCCCCTATCCCTTCCCTTCCCTTCCCTTCCCTTCTCTTCCCTTCCTTTCTCTCTCTTTCTCTCTCTCTCTTTCTTTCTTTTTGAGAGATTTTTGCCATAGGGCATGTATACTCACTAGAGACAGAGAGACAGAAAGCAAGAAATCACCCACCCCCAAGGGGGGATGGCCTCACTGCAGCCCCTTTTCCTCCATTCTCCTTTCAGGATTTTGGGCACGCACACGTGCATGCCTGGCGTGAGTTTTAAGCTACTGAGTCCAGGACTCAAACTGGGATTGACAACATGGGAATCCAGCAACATAACCTTTACGCCATCTCCTGGTCCCATGTCTTCTAGGTTTCTTAGCTGAGCCCCATTACCATTGACTTATATTTTCCCGTCTGACTTCCACAAATATTTCCTTAACTGGCCTGAAGTGAGACTTCTCAAAGGTCACAAGTAATCTCAAGGCTATAGTGCATATCCCAGGCTTATTCTTCTGAGTTAGTATAAAAAAGGAAAAAAAAAAAAAACAGTCAAACAGCTTGCAGTTTATTTGTTGTCTTTCTCCATAAGAAAATTCTCTACTAAGGAGTAAAGGGAAGAAAATCTTGCCTAGTTGACCAGGCATTTTTTGTCCTTCCAGACTTTTTCTAGTTTTGCCTCTCAAGTGTCTTATGCTTCTTGCCTGCTTCTTATTGATGACTTTAGAATATCAAACTTCACTTGTCAATAGTAACTTAAGGAATAAAATAAGGTCAGACATACAGTTGCCTACATTAGATCCAACATTTATAAAGTAGGTGTGTAGCTGCCATGTGTTCATTGAGTGCCTTCTGTGTGCTTTGCATCTAATTAGACATTTTACAGGCATCTCATCACCCTCATTAACACTCAGGGAGTTATACATTAGCATTCACATTTTATATTGAAGCTCAGAAATGTTAAAAATTTCCCTGCTTAGTTGCAGAGCTAGGAAGAGTCAGCCAGGTTTTGATCTTACAGCTGATAGCAGCATAACTGGTGTTGGCACTTCTCCGGTTTCTCATTCCGCCTGGTCTCTTGTTTTCCCACTTATTCCTGCACCAGTTTTGCAGTAATGTCGCTGGCTTATTTCAGGTTCCTGGGATACCATTCATCTGGCTCCCAGAACCTACATGCA